ATCACCATACGAAACACAGCAGCATTAAGCTGCTATTTTACGCTGGTATTCTGTGAGAGCGTGGTCCTTCCCCGGTCGAGACGACCCATTCGTGCTACAACTGTACTATTAATATAGCTGCAGCATGGCTCTACCACGTATAAGTTGAACAACTTCGGAAGATGCCTATTATGTAATATTATTAAATAAATAAAATTGAAGTGTCTGTTTGTAATGTCAAAATAACGGTTTTATACTAAACGCATATGAAAGTATATACGGTACTTATAACAAAAAACATTTTTTTAAATTTTTGTCTGTTTGTTCCGGCTAAATTTTTGTCTGTCTCCGAAACGGCTGGACCGAATTTGACGAAACTTTCACTGGCAGATAGCTAATGTTATCAGGAGTAAGTTATCTAAGTAAGTTTTATTTAAGAATAGGAATTAGGGTTCCGCGCTAAAAAAAATTAAAACCCATAAAATCCAATCGTAAAAAATCCTACACGGGCGAAGTTGCGGGGAACAACTAGTTATGAAATAACTATCGGCGCAGAGACGTATTAATAATACAATAGTAATGAAGATATTGTAAGCATGAGGTAACAGAATTCCGTAAACCATAATAAATAACTTGTCCATAGTACCATTTATTGATTAAAGTAACCATGAAACATAACGCCTGTCGAAATATTTCCGCAACCTTCGGAACATCGATAAAACTATGCATTTCAACAAAAGAAACAATAATATATTATGCGTGTATGTTTGTGACTGACCTCGAAAAGGAAAAAGTGCGTGCATAACTTATATGTAGAGTGTTACTGAACATCCAGAGTCAGTGGTGATGGAAAGATTAATTAACCTACACATATTATATCTTAACTTATCATAGTTACAAAAGCTAAATTACAAATTATTATTATGGAAGTATTCTGAAATAACTTTCATAGAGAGGATATAATATAACACTTGACAAGCGTGTTGGGAACGGCATTTTTTTTATCAAGCTATTATCAAAAAGATGCTGCTGCCCATTTCCAGGGTTTAGGTTTGCTGCAAATTTCCCTGTCGCCTTTTATGACATCCCTTCTATGACGGGTCTACGTGCTGTTTTCGAGAGTCAGTACATACCATCTCGCACGCAGATTTGGCAACTTCTAACCTCTGAAACACCTGGTTGCCGAAAAGTCTTTAGCACCATAGACCACATACATACCCTTTGACAGGATTTACAGAAGACTGTGGAGTATAATATGTCTTAATAAAGTCTGACTTCGACAAAAAGATCAACCGAAGAATCCAACTCTGTTGCGCTCCGTTCGGGAAAGTGTTAGCAGTGTTACCAGTGCGTGCTGTCAGAGATGACTTACGTAACGGAAACATGGCGTTTCACTGCTGGGTATGAGTAAGCGCAAAGCCACTCAGAGCAGGTTCAAAATTTCTATGTTTAGTGTTTGGACTTCAACGCGCAGACCGGTGTCAAGCGGGACGAGAGGACGCTCGGAGCTGTGGTCACGCGATGTTACGTCATCGTGCGACCACAGCTGACCGCCACATTAGGACCACTTCAAATTGGACCACCGACGACTACGCACGCTGTTACTCTCTAGACCACTTCAATTCGGACATTCCCGTCCACTTAGGCCTTTTATTTATAAAGATTACCAACATTCAGAATTTTTCTGCAGAATAAAGGCCGTAACGAGGATATCCGCAAGAAAACAAGCGTGATTAACATAGCCCAACGGATCAGTAAGCTGAAGTGACAATGAGCCGGCCATATAGTATAGAACCGGTAACCGATGGAAAAAACCGGTGTCGATGGATGCAGGTGGATCAAGAGCGTGCTTTGTGGCAATCTATAGAGGTGGCCTATGAGGAGTATGGTCTTGTGATGGGTTGTAGTAATGTGATAAAGATGAGTCTAAAAAAATTTATTTTTATTATTTCAAAACTGGCGGGCTTTGTCCAAGTGTAGGATATTATAGGCTGAGTATGATGATGTTTTCATCGTTGAATTCTTATGTGTTATTTTTTTATATATATGTGGTACTTTAAGTGATGCAAACGTCTCTGCGTGTCATGTCGGATACTGATACCCGGTTAGGTTCTGTCTATCTCTTACCGGGTATTTCGAGCACGAGTTCACTTCAAGGATGGTAAATGAAGTTACCGTCCCTAGGGCAGATGGGGCAAATGACTGCTTTTGTATACAGGCGGTTCTTACAATATTAATTCTTGACAGGGTGCCATTAATAGTGTAGTGGCGGTGTTAGAATATTCACTACTCTATATCATCCCGTGGATGTCGTATGAGGAGGATGAAACAAGAGATGGGCATCAGCATCTTCCTGATAACATGTCATATAAGTAGATGATAATGTGTGGGTTCTCGTGACTGTTATACTAGGCGTTCCTTTCCTATCTAGTAATCCTGTGTAAGTACATCTACCACCCTTATATCTATTTCTACCGCCACATAAGTGCATCAAATTTTATGTCATGTTTAAATTGGTATTTAGTGATAAGGGCTTGCCATTATTTGTTTATGATTTTGCTTTCTCTTTTCCGATATTTTTATAGGATAGGGTGATAAACGAGCACACAGTTCACCTGATGTTAAGTGGTTGCTGTGGCCCAGAGACATCTACATCTATCCTCGTTTGCGAATCAAAATGCAGATAGAATACCTCTTTTCCAGTAAAAAGGTCTCCGGTTCTCTACACTCGCCATACGAAACACAGCAGTGTTGAGCTGCTATTTTACGCTGGTATTATGTGAGAGCGTGGTCCCTCCCCGGTCGAGCCGACCCATTCGTGCTACAACTATACCAGAAATATAGCTGCAGCATGGCTCTACCACGTGTCAAAGGTGGTTCAAATCTCGTGTCAGAACAAAATCAGTGACAAATAATTTTACGTAAATATTTTTCGTATGGTGATTGTAGAGAACCGGAGACCCTTTTTACTGGAAACGAGGCATTCCATCTTAGTCCTCACGGATGACAACGCATCTGCATTTTATTCGTAATCGAGGATAAATGTAGATGTCTATGGGCCACAGCAACCACTTACCATCAGGTGGACTGTGTGCTCGTTTCTCACCCTTATCCTATAAAAAAAAACCTGACCAACGATGCAGTCAATGACTCTGTTATGACTCAAGCGTGGACTGTATTCTTTTTGCCTAACTACGTCCAATCAAAGATTTACACTATCCACCTGGTAGCAAATGAATTCTGTGCCTTAAAGTCAGCTGTCAAGATTTATGCGTCGTCACATCCCTGAGGACTGAGCTGGAATGCATCATTACCATTAAAAGTAAAACAGCAGCATTATGCAGATATTCTGCGAGAACGTGGTTCTTTCCCGGTCAAGCCGGCCCGTTCGTGCTGCCAAAATACGCTGCAGCGTGGCATTAAAATGTAAGAAAAGCCTTAAAGTATTCTGTATTAGCTATCTGTAGCGACATGTACTCATGAGGTATATCTTCACACTATAATTGGAGTTGTTTTACATACAGAAATTTCACAAGGACAAACATCCAGAACCGAACATTTATTTGTAGGCCATACAAATATTTGTTACTCGTATGTGCGGGATTCAAACCGGTGACCCTTAGCGCTGCCTTTCAATCTGAAGCTACTGCACCACGGAGACATTAAATGTTTCTTTGTTCAACGTCGTCTAAATAGTTCGATTAAGAACTACGTCGTCTATTATTCCACCCTCTATATGTGTACGAGTATAACATTTCGCCCTATGGGTGTATTTTGGTGCCTTTGGGAAATGCTGGAAATTATATTATGGCTGCCGATATATATACCAGGCCTAAAATTAAATGCCAGACTAGCTACGGGCAGCAGCGTCAAAGGTATGAGACGTCTGGACCTGGGATCGTTAGTCTGCCTGTCAAGCGTAGCAATCAAGGCAAATCCTGCCTACACAGGAGAGACATATTTCCAGCAGTAGACTTTTACAAGCTGTTCAACAGCAGAGGAAGAAGAAGAATCAACGAAACATTAAATAATCCATAATTTTACTTTTCTGTTGTTAATACCAACGTACAGTTATTTTATTAGAATATTTAATGGCATCTTGTTGACTAAGTTTAAATTACGAAAGACGGCTATGTCTTAGTTGAGTATAAAGTAATTAAATTTTCTTAGTCAAAACAGCTTAGAAATTAAGCTAGATAGCTGGACGTGACTGAGTACAATTCGTCCAGTACGTATACTGTTGGGTATATGTATATTTGCCGCACGTCGGGAGAGGACAACTCCTCTCCAGGTCTACTAATAAAGCGCATTCCTAAACGGTCTCCAACTCCACCTGCGCAACGACTGAGTAGGTTTTTCGTTGTTATTAATAAGGCTACTGGATATATAATTATAATTATTTTATTATTTTGGTATTAATTGTCCGAATAATTGCAATAATAACTATTACTAATTAAGAGGATAATATCATCAAATCATCATTGTATAATTTTAGTTATGTCAAAAAATACAATTTTCTAAATTAACACAAAAGTTTGAATATTTTTCATAAATATATTCTTGTATTTAGTAGTCAACTTTTTCAATAGAGCTTTAATTTTCTTTAAACTTTTCTAGGTATATTATTTTCTTTGATATTCTTAGGTAAGGTAGTAGATAATAGGAGCGATCCTTAATATGCTACTCGTATGTCGTAATAGTGCCGACTAATACATTTTTTTATTAAATTTTCTCTTTCTTTTTACTTAGTTTTTTATTTTCCTTTAAGTAATATAAGTTTAATAAGTTTAGTTTTTGAGCTTATTAATATACTAAATACCTATAATAATTGTACTTTCCATAAAATGTATTAATTTTAACTATTGGAGATGTCACGAGCATCTCATTTAAATTTTTCTCTCGTGCGTAATGTAAATATCGTATTATCGTAAGCTGCACTCAACAGGTGTGCACAACGTGGAAAATTGATCACGATCTTTAAATTATTTCACTATTTAAAGGCTGTATGGCGGGAGATCACTGCCTACGATTCATTTTGAGACCGAACCGCGCATGTCGTGCGCTTCGCATACTTTGGCGCGAATTTTTTTTAACCAAGCAAAAACTAATAAAAAGTGTTATGTATTAATCCAAGTGAGTTAAAATGGATCCGAAACCGTGCCTTGTAGTTTATAAAGAATGAAACATAAAAATTAAAACAGTGAAAGGAAAAAAATTAAAACTATTGTGATGGAGTGGACAAAATTTTATGTAACTGTTTTTTACTTTAAAAAATGGCATGTTCATAGAAAATGGAAAAAATTAAGTAGTTCAGTGTATGCGGGTCTGATAGTGCTGTTTATGCCATTTGTGTTGAGTGATGGTAAGAACTTATGATAAGCATTTTTTCCTCTTTCAACAAAATTTACAGAATATACATAGACATTTAAAATTTAGAACATACTTTGTTATTTTTTCATTCACTACTTATTCAAACAAGTTAAAATATTAAGAACTCTATTTATGAATACTAATTTATATAATGTGAAATGATGACACTTCCTTATATTTACGCATACACTGCACATTGAATGAAATTAGTTTTTAGAAATATACACGGGGGGATTCATTGACCTACCTATATCTTGGATGCTGCAAAGAACTCGAAACGTTGCGAATTTTTTAAAGAAATACTTGTTAATTAAACGCGATAAAATCCATAGAGAAAAACTTGTTTAATTCGTTGGCAATTCTTGCATTTATTTTTCATCCATTCATTAATTGCAGCCTATCTTAAGTCCACTGCTGAACATAGGCCTCCCGGATACATAGGAAACGTATATTTGCAATATTTGCCACGCTCGGAAAACGGGCTGGCAACTGTAAATCTTTATTAATTTGAATTGTCATCAAGAATTTGGTGCTGCCCAGCTCCTATTTCCTTTTCATCTGACGCTTTGGTTATAAATCAATCAAAATTAAAAGCAAAAGTATTGATTAATAAGTACACAATTGATAATACATTCAATATAGTATACTATTGTTGATATAGGATTCCTAAAAATAATGTTTTTAATTTATAATCATGGAAATCAATCTCCTTTGTTATTGTAGAGCATAAGCATACAACTCTTCAATCTCAACCAAAATCATTCATCCTCCATGGTGCGATGATTCGGGTAATTGGAGCAGAGTTAACTCAATTACATAACGCATTTCCATGTTCGTCATTGTAGGTCCTATTGTTGTTTTATAATAGAACTTAGGTATTGAATTTCACGATCGCGTGGCGCACGGTGCAGTGTTAGAAGTCCAAGATACAAATCTTGACTACCATTAAAACTTTGTCAAACAACAACAACACTCTAAAACTAACTAAAATTATGTCTTATGCAAATTATGTAATTCGAGAACTTATTAAAATAATATTACGAGTATCATACAGAAATATGGACGCCTTTTTCGGTGGAAGCAATATAGCTAAAAAGAGTCAGACACTGCCTCAGTGTAAAGTCGTAGACTTCTCGTATATTATCGATATTTTTTATACATTCCAATGTCACAAACGAGTATACAGTACTCTTGATGGGAATTGGATGGCATGGTCTGTAGACACTTGCATTTATCATCGACTACAAATCAAAACTTAAATGCGTTATCGCCCCTGAGATCTAAGACTTAATGCCTCATTACCAGTAAAAACTGTTTCCGGTTCTTTTCACTCAAAGTACGATTTCAAGCATTATATTCTAATTTACGCAGGCTTATGGTGGTCTTTTTTTTGATATTTTCTCTTTGAAAGGATAACCTTGGTTAAAAAAGTTTATCCTTCCTAAAATATTCTTGGCTTAATCATAATACGCAAGACCTCTGTTAAATTATTCGTTATATGGTCCCCTCTGTGACCCACCCGTGCAACAATTTTGCTTTTTTAAAGAACGTCAAGGAGGAATCATCAAATTGCGAAAAATACACCATAACTAAAGATGTAGGAAATATAATAAAACCATGAGAGGAGTCTCCCTCTCTCAATGAAGAAAGTTTACGTCTATCATGTTGATATCGTAAGGTGCTATCAACATTATAAATATAAAGTTTTACTGAATGTTTCTGTGGTCTAATGATCTTAAATACGACTGACGATAATGAGGTCCCGGGTTTGGAGCGGCCCAAAATCAATCATTTAGTTTTTAGCAGCCCGATGTCCATCCTTGCCTGGGAAAGCGGGTATAGCCGTTGGCCTCGCTTGGTCTCTCTTCGTTAGTGTCAGATTGCCGTCCTGTTGGAATATGAGAGTGAAGGAATAGAGAATGCAGCTGTATTTATGCAAACAATTAAAAGTATGCTCGCATACTCTATAACCCTGACCTGAGCAAATGGCTGGTCTCTGTTGAGACTGACCGCCGTGACCGGAATTCGGTCTAGAGGAGTACATTACTAGGTGACAGGGCTCTTTCTAATCCTAAGACTCCATCTGCGTTGCGATCACCATCTCAACTATTTCTGTCAAACATATGACCATGTGGTGTCGCCATGAAAGAATCCATATACCCAATTCGTACCAAGCAACTATGGGATATGCCGATGATGATATTAAAATAACCTTAGCTCCCGATAGATGGCGCTATCTTGAATAGGCCAGGCGTAAAATACCCAGACTGGCGTCGAAAAGCAGCGTTAAAGGTTCAAAACGCCTGCCAAGAATAAAAATTAAAAAAATAATCCCTCCGAATGGAGACGTCCATGTTTAACAGTGGGCTTTTAAGAGCCAGTGTTGAAGAAGAAGAAATAAAAAAAATTGTGTCGTGAAGTGTTTCAGTTCAAAGGGTAATAGACCAAGTATATTTACAGACTTAAGCATTTCAAGTTATAATTACGCGAATACTACACATTAAATGAAGCTAATTTTACGGGAACTCACTGTCCTCCCTCTCCACGAGACTCACTGTTCCCCCCGTGACCACGGGTACTGTAAGGCACCCGAAACGTCAGGAATTAAAAAGTTAAATTAAACGCGACAAAATCCATAAAAATTAGTTTCATTTAACATTTCAAGTTATTTCCGTAGAGATGATAGTACATCTATAGTCTTATTAAAGTTGGTGGCTGGTGTCTACGGGCTGCAGATACCACTTACCATCGGGTAGACAGAGACTGTTAGCTCGTCTGCTCGATGTGATTAAAACGACGAATACTGAATTCTATCTCAGTCATTCCCTATTTTTTTTTTATAGGATGAGAGTGACAAACGAGCACACAGTACACCTGATGGTAAGTGGTTACTGTGGGCCATACACATCTACATTTATCCTCAATAAAGTATCCAAATGCAGATGCGTCGTCACCCGTGAGGACTAAGATGTAATGCCTCGTTTCCAGTAAAAAGGGTCTCCGGTTCTTTACACTCACCATACGAAACACAGCAGCGTTAAGCTGCTATTTTACGCTGGTATTCTGTGAGAGCGTGGTCCTTCCCCGGTCGAGCCGACCCATTCGTGCTACAACTATACTATTAATATAGCTGCATGGCTGTACCACGTAAAAATACGACTGCCTACTACCTATTACAGTTTTTTATAAAACTGAAGTGATAATCAAACTCACAGTCCATCCAATGGTTAATGACTACTGTAGTCCATGGACCTTCAAACAAAGGAGGCCACAGATGCTTTGTCACCTCTGAATATTAAGTTAAATGTCTATAATTATACTGGCGCTCTTTACATGACAGTGCAGGCATTGTTATTTGGCGGTAAAAATTGGTAAGAGATACCTACCCAAACATACTCCTAAAGAAACCTGCAGCAAAATGTAACCGTGCCACCAAATAAAAATGTAATACAATGTAAAAAATGTTTGAACAATTTAGGTTTGTTTAAAGCTTTTATTTTATAGGATAGTGTGACAAACGAGCCCACAGTCCACTTGATGGTAAGTGGTTACTGTGGCCCATAGACATCTACATTTATCCTCAATAAAGAATCCAAATGCAGATGCGTCGTCGCCCATGAGGACTAAGATGGAATGCCTATTTTCCAGTAAAATGGGTCTCCGGTTCTCTACACTCACCATACGAAACACAGCAGTCTCAAGCTGCCATTTTACCTGCCTTCCCCGGTCGAGCCGACCCATTCGTGCGACAACTATACTACTAATATAGCCGCAACATGGCTCTACCACGTATAAAAAGCTTGGGTTTAGTTTAACCGTGTAGTAACGGTGTAAGAATATCCTTACTTACTTATCTTCACGCACAATCCCTGACGGGGTAGCCAGAGAGAACAGATCGCCAAGTGTCACGATCCTTACAAACCTCTTTCGCTTCTTTCAGATTCATTATCTTCTTCATGCATGCACGTCTAGGTATCCGAGTACTCTTGACCCTACCCTCTTCGAGCAATTTGCTCACATGGTCTTCGAAAGTTAGTCTCGGTCTACCTCGACACCTTTTAATATTAACTTTCGCGCTGTATATCTTCTTCACCGTTCGGTCTTCACTCATTCGCTCAACGTGCTCAGACCACCGAAGCACGCCCTTATCAATTTTTGTGATAAGGTCATCTTTCAAACCTGCCATATTGCGAATCTCTTCGTTTCGCTTTCGGTCGGCCATGGTAACGCCGCACATTTTACGAAGAGATCGCATCTCCACTGCATTCAACTTACTTTTATGCTTCTTCTGGCATACCCAGGTTTCGCTGCCATATAACAAAGTCGGTACCAACACACAAGAATATCCACTACCCCATATCATCTCACAGGCGTTGTAAGAGGCGGCAGATGTAAACAAATCAGGAGATGGGCAGTAGCGTCTTCCTAATGTCGATTAATAATAAAATCTGCAGCTGTCAACCCGCTTGCCACTATGACAAATATCTCCCCTATGAAGCAATCTGTGACGGAGGCCTATGCTCAGCTGTGGACTTTAATAGGACGTAACGGTAAAGCTTTTGTCAATGTCATAACCAACACCGTTATGCAAAATGTTATGAGGTCTTCAATTTTTATTTACGTCAGATTACAATTTCATTAAATATCTGTTGTTAAGACATAATACAATGTATTCACACGAGAATGTGGTCAAATTATTAAATAAATCTAGACACGGGGCGTCATCTTCAATTGTTTAATCCTCTCTTAGCACATTCATGAGAAAATTGGGTAATGGATCCATTCCATTGATGTCTTTATTGCCGAAACTATGAATTAAAAAAAAGCAATTATATAATTATTGAATTAAAAAACAACTATATTTCTATCCTTATCACACCGATAATGGCCAGTGGAAACATGAACACCTGTTATAGTTACCACGAAAATATCTTCCGTAATATCTCATTAATTCCAACATAACGTTACATCTTGTTAAGAAACTGTCACTAA